GGACAGAGGCTGCAGGTCGATGGGTTTATTGTACCGCCTGCTGGTGTTTGGTGCTTGAACGAGAGTCCTGTACGGTTCTTGAAAGATTACATGAAGACGAGACGAGAAGGGGAGGACATGGAGAAGACGCATCTCGGTAAAGTGCTTGAGGGTGGCTTGCTGGAGAAGTGCGAGATCGATAGCGAGTAGATTGGGCGCGCCACTTTGATACTTCCCCATCTTCTATCCTTGTCACGCTTCATCACGCCGAGCAACAAGGGCGAAATACTCGAGAAAATGTCTAGATTCAGAAACGCATGCAAAATTGGAACTAAAGATATTTTTCCAACTGAATTCCCCCTCGGAAGTAGTTCCTGGACTTCGTACTAACCTCCGCACGTCTTGTAACTTCGCACCAACGTTAGTATACCCGCCCCCTCGATCTCATTCGTTGCTACGAGAACTCTGTAAGGAATTGCGTGCAAAATGTATCCCCAACATCCGACAGCATACGCGATAGAAAGCTATGAGAACATGAGTACCATGGTTGATATCATAGCCATACTTGAGAGAGATCTTCCATACATGTATCAAAGCCGATAGTCAATCACGAGCTGGAGGCGTCAATATGATCGGGTTGTGATAGCACAGGAATCGAATCTCGTCAAAACAATCATCAGTTCTTTATCGATAGTAAATCACGGATTTTTCCCTTTCGCAAGAAGGGTAATTTACGCTTCTGACCAGCGAAGCAGGCGAGTGGCCCCGTCAGACTACCCAGCGGTGTATCCCGTGAATATGGACGACCTCACGGTTTTGATATTATCGATGCAATGCACAGAGTCCGATCAAGAGACTGTACAATGTCACAGTGACTGGTAGGTACGCTGCACAGGGAAGCACAAACTATGAAATCCTTGCGTTTAGTTGCATGGTAAATCTCAATCCGTGTCAAGATGTCATGTAAAGCCAGGCTCTTGCTCTGTATTTGCTTTTGTCGTCACACGAAACGAAGGGGGGCTCAGTCTTCGCTAAAGCTGCTTCACTGGCCTTTCTTTCACCTCGAAAGGCGGAGTTTGTTAAGGTCATTGATCATTCACACTCACTGAAAATATGCGTAGAAGCTCACGGGGGGTATGCTATCAGTTCCAGGATAATGGTCACTGCAATTACGGTTCGGGTTGCAAGTTCTCTCACCCTGGCGGCTCACGACCGGTATTAAGCAGAGGGGTAGGTGGCCAGGATAGAACGATTCATTCCGAGCTCTCTTTGCTAAATTGTAACAGAGGCAACTACATCTTCTCCAGCACCATCAGCGCAGACCAGAGCAGGATCTAGACGCAATCTCGGCTTTTTTCACCCAGTATCCAGAGTTTCCCTACGATCCCAAGAGGAGCGTGGCGGAGGGGTTTTATCGCATGTGCGACTTCTTTGCTTGGGACAAGGACTGTGAAGAACGTAAACAAGCTCGTCGAGTATTCAACGACGCCCTGGTCATAAGATTTAATGGCTTGTACGGTACCGATGTCGCTGACATCGAGAACTGGCATAAGCTTTGTGTAGCCCTCTACATTGAGCCATTGCCTGACACTATTCATCACTGCAAGAAGGTATGGTGGTGGCAGCCATTCAAGAAAATCCTTTTCAAAGCATGAGCAGAAGATAAAGACGATTCATGTCAATCTTGTAGATCTGGTGGACGTCTCGCGAGATGCAGTCGAGCTCTTTCCTTCTCTCGAAGAGCTGAGGGAGTATACTATTGGTAGCGGAAAGTTTTTCCCAAAGAGATCCGCCTACGCTGGTGGGGTTCTGAAGTTCTTGCTACGCGAGATCTTGTGATCCACGTACGGGTGGGACAGTACGCAAGAAATATCAAAGCACGTACACATAGGTTGCGATCGACCACAATATGCTGGGAATTTTGTAGAGTATCCATGTAGTTGCAGTACCATCCATTCGGCAAGTCGGCTGTCACCCGGACGTAGGCATCAAAAGCGCATCACCTAAAGTCTCAGCGCAATGCGTTAAATTGAGCGCTCTATTGCTAACAGCGGACTTCACCTGCACCACCTTTGTCTCTCCGCCTCGATATCAATCTGACCGTTGCTGTCGTAGTGCGTCGGGCTGATCACATCCACTACCTTCTGGACATCTGGATCCAGTGGATTGGTTCGCAAACGCCCGTACTCGTGTAGGAAGCCGCTCAGCGTGCGATAGAGGCCACTTCCAACCTTGTTGTACTTTTCGTCACAAATCAGCGTTCGGAGAGGGTGGTCGTCACGACTTGTATTTTGTCTGTACTGTTTCCATTGAGCTTGCCAAAATAGCCTCCATCGATTGCCAAAACCTTGCTGCCTAGAGTCAAAAGCCGGCAGGTGCTCGAGCAGCCACCGGCAAGCTACAAGAAGTTCAACATCTTGAGTTCCGCTCGATGCCGGAGTCGGGTGGCTGATGTTGATGCAACTTTCCTTAATCTGTTCTGACATCGTTATGAGGCATTGTGCGTTCATTATTTCATTTTTTTCGAGTCGACTGCGAAGGCGTTGGAGCTCTTTCTCCCATGCTCTTCGTTGTCTTTGGAGCTCCGACGAGACGTTCACGTCACATTGCTGTGAACGGCTTAATGATGCGACAGTCGATCGAAGCTCGTTGTATTGTAGTGCTAGATTTTCAACGTGCTGTTTTGTGTCGTCTGCCAAGTTCAAGCTCATCAATCTCACTGAGACTACTCGTTCGTCGAGTTCTTTGACGTGTCTCTCCGTGCTGCGGGCTAGAATAGCAATCTCATCAAGATGCGA